TATATATATATACAAACATAAGTGTGTATTCACTGCGGACCGACTAACCGGAAATTGCGCCAGATTTGTAACGGGTTACCGGCATTTTCAAAACTGACAGAGAAAAGACAGCAGGCATAACAGATATAGACAGTGTGTTTGGATTATTTCATGGACAGACAAAGCCTAGTGAAAGGTGATGAGGGTAAGCTGTTTTATTCATACGATCATGTCTTATCTAAACTAATCTGAGCATCTGGCCAGTGATACTAAAATGTTTACAAGTTGATTGTGTACGGAGTGTTTATAATTTACAAAATAAGTGTGTACCTATATATAGTTACATCATTTTAAAACTAATATTCTGCACCTCATGTTGTAAAACTGCATGTTGAGTTCTTACATGATTTGATATTTATATCGAGAGTGGTGTGTTCTTACAGGGAGTGGTATATTGACTTTGGTTTGGTAACCAAATAGGCATAACTAAGTCATATGTAATGGAGTCTGCCCTGAGGAGGCTACTGTACATGTGTACAGTGAGGCCCTAATCTCTGCGGGTATGATAATGTGTAACAGGCTTATCATATATTGGAAGTTTCTTGTTGCATGTTACGCAGATAGAATCATACAACGAAACAGTTATTGCCATTGAGATCACACTTGGTTATGGGGAAATTAATATAATTTACTGCTGGTTATCGTGCACTCGCATGGCAATGTTTTCGTTAATGGTTTGGACAATAAATAAGCTGTGGATAAATAATAAGGATGACTGCAACACAATATGTCACATAACCATTCTGTATCACTCAATCAGATAAATACATTGTGTACCTAAAAACTTCAATGCCTTCTTTATTTTGTTTATTTTAGATCTCACAAAGAATACTAATATAGAATATGTAGTATATGTATATATAGTATATAAGTTATATGTGAATTTTTTTATAACACTGACAAATAATTCTATTTATTTCAGATGCTGTGACGAAAGTCAAACAGTTCTTAACAGAATTAGTGATGGCATAGCGATAACCACCTGAGAACGGCTTGATTAGTTATATATTATGAATAAATGTTAATATTTTCATGTTTTTCATGGTGTTTTTTTGTATATATTGCTGTTTTTTCTTTGATTTATAAGTATGCATGTATATATAGAAACAATATGCAATAAATGAAAAAAACTAGTTTAATAGCTACGAACTTGTTAAGACTACGGATGATTTCAAACTTCAAAACTGTAGTTATAATTAAGTTTAATATATCGGTACTGAAAAACTGCAGATTGACATCGGGCCAATGTCGGGAAAACATCGGACCAACATACACATGCTGTCTAGATACTGGGTAGAACATGGTTTTCATGTTGGAAAGACGTCGGATAGACATCGGGCCGATATACTTGCCGATAGTGGACCGACATCAAAACTTGTTGCAAATGGAAGCTGGTCAGATGTCGGCCCGTACTTAGAACCGACACTGGGCCGATATGGAGGACTGCAGATTTACATCGGGCCAATGTCGGGACAACGTCGGGCCAACATACATAGGTTGTCCAAATACTGGGAGTAATATGGTTTTTAGGTTGGATATACGTCGGATAGACATCGGGCCGATATACTTGCAGATATCGGGCCGACATCAAAACGTGTTGCAAATGGAAGCTGGCCCGATGTCGGCCCGCCCTTAAAACCGACACTGGGCCGATATGGACTCCGATATCGGCCCAATATCGGCCCGATATCTGTGTGCTAGCTGGGGGCCATTACAACAGTGTTAGAGGGCAAGTGTAATTATATAGGCTATAATTACAACTGCTCGACTATAATTACAACTGCCTGTTTCAGGTGTAGGAATATGTAAACAAACAAAATGGCCGCCTGAAATGTATTTTGAGGCAGGGCAAATGGTTTTTGCAGGAGTATGTCTTAAAAAAGAAAAATATGTAAATATAAAAAATACCTGGTTGTCTGGATGTAATTATTGTTGATATAATTACAAGTGGCCTCTGGCAAATAGCGGGTTTTATGGGATTTGCCAGAGGCCACTTGTAATTATATCAACAATAATTACATCCAGACAACCAGTTATTGTTTAAATGAATTAAAGATATTTAGTGATGTATGTATTCAGCGATGTGTATGTAATGTACTCGATTAGATTTTGGTATTTTTCTTTAGTGATGCATTTTCCCATGGAAGTTTTTATTAAGATATATTTTAGCTACGTATTACCTTGCATACATCTATGGTGGTATTAGATGCAGACATTCATTGGTCATTTCAGCGCTTCCACGACGGCCTCCGAAGGTGCGCTGGCTGAAGTGATCAGTCTCAACCTGGAACTGGTCAGCTTCGTCGCCATGTTTTCCGGGTGGTCTGATGCAGTGGACACAGCTTACACTGACCATAACCTGTGATGTTAAAGATCATTGCCACTGCTGCACACATCACTAAATTGCCCTCTTCCACTCTCTGTCTCGGATCCTCCAAACCACAGGAACAATGTTTCTGCTTCCTTGCCAGCTTTTCCACATACCCGTCTTCTCTCCTGACCCGTTACACCATAGACCTAAATTAACTTTACTTTAGGTCTCTGGTTACACCAAGAGTACCCAATGACGAGTGCCCCGCAAACCCTCTCCAGCCAACTTCTACAGGCATGCACCATGTCCGCCAGCCCCTCTAGATCTCCTGACAGGTCCTGACCATATCTTCATATTTGGCCATTAGCCAGTTTTCTCTTACCCTAACAACAGACTTGGGATTTTGACATGATAAGTGTCACACCAGACATCTATAGGTCAAAATGTCTCAAGTCTGGTGTTACGGCCAGAGGAAACTCGGGCTAATTTGGCCATATGCATCTTCCTTTTATGAGCTTCCTCAATCCTTTCCTCCCATTTACTAATTTGCGTTTAGATTTGGAGATATTTACTTCTTAGCGTGCACTCGTTTAGGCGTGGAAGATATTTCGTGATGCATGTTCTCCTTTACTTGTATAATTAAATATATTAAGTGTTAAATTGAAGAATTATTCATGTGTCGTCATACTATACTTCAGTGTCACTGTTGAGCCCTAAATCGACAAAACGGTCATATGATGCAGTAAAATGTTAACTTTGTTTATGCTTTTGCAACTACAAACCAAAAAACAATCCAATGGTGTTTCCTTACTTCTAAGTACTTCCACGGACTAAGATAATGATTATTTTTTAAAAGGTGGTCAACTCTGCTGGTGGACTATCAGTCCCCGGGGTTGATGGTACTCTGCTGGTGGACTGTCAGTCCCCGGGGTTGGTGGTATCCTTGCAGCTACTGGGGGACTGTCAGTCCCCGGGGGTGGTGGTACTCTGCTGGTGGACTGTCAGTCCCGGGGGTTGATGGTACGCTGCTGGTGGACTGTCAGTCCCCGGGGTTTGTGGTAGCCTTGTAGCTACTGGTGGACTGTCAGTCCCTAGGGTTGGTGGTACTCTGCTGGTCGACTGTCAGTCCCCGGGGTTGGTGGTACTCTGTTGGTGGACTGTCAGTCCCCGGGGTTGGTGGTGCTCTGCTGGTGGACTGTCAGTCCCCGGGGTTGATTGTACTCTGCTGGTGGACTGTCAGTCCCGGGGGTTGATGGTACGCTGCTGGTGGACTGTCAGTCCCTGGGGTTTATGGTACTCTGCTGGTGGACTGTCAGTCCCCAGGGTTGATGGTACTCTGCTGGTGGACTATCAGTCCCTGGGGTTGGTGGTACTCTGCTGGCGGACTGTCAGTCCCCGGGGTTGGTGGTATCCTTGTAGCTACTGGTGGGCTGTCAGTCCCCGGGGTTGGTGGTACTCTGCTGGCGGACTGTCAGTCCCCGGGGTTGGTGGTATCCTTGTAGCTACTGGTGGACTGTCAGTCCCTGGTGCTGGTGGTACTCTGCTGGTGGACTGTCAGTCGCCGGGGTTGGTTGTACTCTGCTGGTGGACTGTCAGTCCCGGGGGTTGATGGTACGCTGCTGGTGGACTGTCAGTCCCCGGGGTTGATTGTACTCTGCTGGTGGACTGTCAGTCCCGGGGGTTGATGGTACGCTGCTGGTGGACTGTCAGTCCCCGGGGTTGGTGGTAGCCTTGTAGCTACTGGTGGGCTGTCAGTCCCCGGGGTTGGTGGTACTCTGCTGGCGGACTGTCAGTCCCCGGGGTTGGTGGTATCCTTGCAGCTACTGGGGGACTGTCAGTCCCCGGGGGTGGTGGTACTCTGCTGGTGGACTGTCAGTCGCCGGGGTTGGTTGTACTCTGCTGGTGGACTATCAGTCCCCGGGGTTGGTGGTACTCTGCTCGTGGACTGTCAGTCCCCGGGGTTGGTGGTGCTCTGCTGGTGGACTGTCAGTCCCCGGGGTTTGTGGTAGCCTTGTAGCTACTGGTGGACTGTCAGTCCCTAGGGTTGGTGGTACTCTGCTGGTCGACTGTCAGTCCCCGGGGTTGGTGGTACTCTGTTGGTGGACTGTCAGTCCCCGGGGTTGGTGGTAGCCTTGTAGCTACTGGTGGGCTGTCAGTCCCCGGGGTTGGTGGTACTCTGCTCGTGGACTGTCAGTCCCCGGGGTTGGTGGTAGCCTTGTAGCTACTGGTGGGCTGTCAGTCCCCGGGGTTGGTGGTACTCTGCTCGTGGACTGTCAGTCCCCGGGGTTGGTGGTATCCTTGTAGCTACTGGTGGGCTGTCAGTCCCTGGGGTTGGTGGTACTCTGCTGGCGGACTGTCAGTCCCCGGGGTTGGTGGTATCCTTGTAGCTACTGGTGGACTGTCAGTCCCCGGGGTTGGTGGTAGCCTTGTAGCTACTGGTGGACTGTCAGTCCCTGGTGCTGGTGGTACTCTGCTGGTGGACTGTCAGTCCCGGGGGTTGATGGTACGCTGCTGGTGGACTGTCAGTCCCCGGGGTTGGTGGTATCCTAGCGGCGATAACGTAGCTTTCTGACGACGAGAGATATTTTTTTATATATTGCATGCAGAGGAGGCCGGGGATTAATATTAGTGCTAGTGTTAGCCTTTTAGCTGGATTTAATTATGGCACGGTTTGCTTTAAACAAAAATTGTCTGTTAGAGCCAAAAACGTCTATTATAAACGTTATTTATAAAGGATTTCTTGGGCACCTCTGATAGTATACATGTATTTTTTTCATTCGTTTGACCTGAAGTACTACAGATGAAATTTCATAATGAACTATTCCAACGTTTGAATTGGAAGAGTTCAAATGTGTCTTCAGGGGTTAATGAGTTAATAGACAAAAAGCTAATCTTATTTTACTTTCTGCATCTACAAACAAAACATTCAAATCAGGCACCATCTGTCTTCGTATTTCTTGTTAATATTCAAGCGACAAGTTTCACTGATGTCTTGAAGTAAGGGGTTTAATGTACACACCCTAAAAGATGGTTAAGTCACTCAAAATGTCAACACCATGGTAGGTCATAATTATCAGAAACATATAAAGCCAGTATATAAATGTCCCTGGTTATATTTAACGAATCCAACTATACATCATTATTCAGATCTGTAATTTGGTAATACTGAACTTGTACTATCCACGTTAACCTTTTCACCCCTATGTAACTTTAGTAAACTCTACCATACATTGATCTGGATGAGTCCATTATGGTATACAGTGTTGAAAGGGTTAACATAGCAAATAGTAAGTTATAGGGACTGCTGTCTTGATAAAAATAGTATATCAGCATTGTAACATGTCAGTCTTTTTTGTTTATCATTTAGACCTGCGTATTGACAACCACAGTTAACAAATTATCTAATCGTCCGGAAGTCATTTTAACACTATGTCATTTTAACATCATAGTGTAAAAGATAGCGATTCAATGATAAGCATTAAGGTACAATAGCAATGATCAAAACAAAACGGACCCATAGTCCCATTTATACATGTATTACATGTTATGATTTTATCATAAAATTATTTTTTAACCAAAGCATGCAGCAAACAATACAAGGTATTGTGTAGTTACATTAATACATTTATCACATAATGTACTGTGTTATCCTGTGAGTATACCCATGTCATATTTTTTGCGTATAAACCCACGTATTAGCCTATCAGCCCTATGATTGGTTGTAAGTTTCAAACATTGTTTCAATTGTGACGTCACGCCTAGGACAAGTACATGACGTCGCAGACTTGAGCATTGGAGTCAAAATGGCGGCTTTTTACATTTCACTGTTGCATGAAAATTGTCCTTTTACACGAATAAATGCAACAAATCTTGATTATGTGATAAAAAAGGATCTTAAACTCGTTTTCATTTCATATGAAATTTATGAAACTCTTCACGAATTTCAAAATTCTTAGACTCATTTCATAAATCTCATATGAAATGGAAACTTATGTAAGATCCTAAATATATTGTATGCTAAATGAGTACGATGGAAATAAAGCATTATTGCAGTAAATGGTTCACATTCGGTGCATACTAGATTTTAAAATCCGACACTTTCTGTACTTATTTTCGAAAACTTTTATTAATGTTTAACTAAAAATGTATGGTTTGTATAGAAATATTGATTTATTTGTTACTTTTATACACAGTCAATACTTAACATGAATTTAAGTCAAAATAAAATTGCACATGTAATATAAACGTAATATACTGTAGAGTAAAAGCTGCCATATGCTGCACTTTTGTATAAAAATCTCAAACAAAAATCTCTTTAGAGCATATGCTTTCTCTTTTTAGAACTTATGCTTTCTCTTTTTAGAACATATGCTAACATACTGTGGCGTTAATTAGATTTCAGAAAGTTTAAAACTAATTAACTTGTAATATAGACAATTTATATAAGGGAGATAACTCTTTAACAAATCTAAGGTTTATACTTATGATATGTGAAGAACTGCATATATATCCTATTACAGTTGAATTATTTACACAGCAGTGATAAAAAAATATTATGATATCAAAGTTTTACTCCATACACAAACAAAATCGCCTACGTTTCAACACAAGTTGGTCCCCTTGTCAAGCTATGACAGAAGCTTGAGTGATAACTTGACAAAGGGACCAGTCTGTGTTGAAACTTTCTTCTTCTGGTATTGAGTCGATCTCCTAATACTGGAGTGTAAATTGACTCAGGGCATGATTGATAAAACAGAAGGCTTCCCCAAATGATTAAAAACAGTTATGTTAAAACTATATAAAGGAACGGAGATTGCTAGTCTACCGGATGCTGTCTACCATGTTGCGACATGTTTAATACGTACATTCTTCGTGCATAAAGTAAAACTTTGATATACATGTATTTCAAAACTGATGAATTTTATTGAAGTAACCAAGGATTATAAGATTATATGTTGTACCATGTAAAGTGTAGCAGCAGTAGTATCATTATATCATAGCAACAGTAGTATCATTATATCATAGCAACAGTAGTATCATTATATCATAGCAACAGTGGTAACTAAGGTTTGTATCAAATACTACTCGAACATTGAGCATTTCTCATTTATTTCATGAAAATAGGAATGAAAATAATCTCAGTTCACATTTTTTTTACAGAAATGTGTGTCTATTCTAATTAAATTAACTTATCATTATAACAGCATAAACATTGTATGTTTTCTCAGTATTATCCACCCTATTACATACCACACAACAGTCAATTTTCACTCTTCTATAAAACCTCAAGTGATTCAGGCTATATTTCACATGTGTTTCAAAACTCTGTGGAACAGAGGATCCTGAGCAGTTTGGATTAGTGTAAACCTATTTCACGATGACGTCGATTGATGAACACAATTTGATGAAGCATAGACATGTATAATAGAATCAGCACCTTTATGAAGTAGAATTTGTGTCTCGTATGAAATTGTTGAAAAACATTTGTAACTTTCTGGAATGTATTATGCCAACATTTCAGTCTCCAGACTAACTTACTTATTCCAATGCTGTCTATTGGTGCTCATGTATCTTTTGTATCGATCTCAATGTTCAATTAAGTTCTGTTCTGTTGTAACTTCAGCAGAATTTGGGAGAAAAATACTTTTAAAACAAGGACAGGTGAGCTAAAAATTGGATGTGGAAATTGCTGCATTGGAAATTCTAACTGGATAATGACCATATCAATACATGTATATATTTTGCAATAAATTCACATATGATGTAGTATGTTTTAGTCCTAGTTATATGTGATGTATGTATTTGTTATCAATAGGAAAATATATAACTGATATACATTTAAACATCATATGTAGCCATTTCCATACATATCAGTATTAGAATGTTGACAAAAATATTTCAGTTTGGAGTACAGGTGGACCTGTCCAAACTGATTCCTTTTTAAATCAACATTTTTTTTATACTCTGTTTTTACATGAGAGCTTTCTGAAGAATCTATTACTAGTTTAAGATGATGTTGCATTGCCTTGATCTTACTGCAGCATTCAATTTAATCGAAAGAATGAACACTTACAACTTCAAATACTTTGTTTACATTTATTGAATGATCAGACTAAATTGACCAGAAGTAGGCATTGAAGAGTCTCTGTCACCCTAGTTTTGTATATCCTTCACTGACAAATCAATACATGTATTATGGAGCAGACAAGAAGATGACCTACCCCATTAGTGGGATCGGAAGTACCCCCAGGCAAGTGTGCAGTTTTCTGTTTGTTAATAACCCACTAGACTTAAATAACAACTTACTCCGACACTTTAATCAGTTTTTTTGCAAATCTTTCTGACAATCCATGATTACGATACATTGTTTACCATGTACACCTGATAATATGATTTAAATAGAGCACACTGACCCATCCCATCAGTTTACATTACATTGTAAAAACAAAACAAAGCTTTATGAAATTGGCAATACATCTGTTTTAAAGTATGACTTGTTTTAGAGAGACAAACAAATATGAGGAAAAATTTAACCTATGAAAACAAGTTTTAATGAGATTTTAAAAATATTTGAGGAAAAATAGTAAGATATGAATAACACCTTGCATGCAATAAAATAAATGAGTAATTAAAATAACAGGCACATGTAAATTAAGGATCATGACACACCTGAACTTGTACACAACCACTGTAAACTACTTTAAATATTAGTCAAGTGTAAAGGAAATCATAGAACACTGTACAGGTACTCAAAAGTCAACATGCACACATCATATAGGCAATATGTTTTCCACATCGGCTGTTTCTTACTATTGTATGAACACAGTGTTATTCAGTAAATCATTTGACACAATAAAATCAATATGTACACTTAAAAACATTTCATTTTATATTTAATCAAAACTGTATATATCCACATTTTCTATTTTTTACTTTTGTGTTTTGTGGCACATTTAATAAAATTAAACTTTTAAAAGAGCATATCACTATTACAATAGTTGAGGTAAAATCCAGAATTTTTACACAATTTTTACTTCATAAAAGGCTTACGATATATTAAACTTTAAATGTCATTGTTTCAAATATCTTGGTTTTGAATGTTAGAATAACTGTTAAAAATCTTTTAAATAAGCTGCAGACAAATGTGAGGACAAGTATAGCAGAGTGGGAATATTAAACAAACAACTCATTTGCTTTCCCTGATATTAAAACGTGGTTAAAATTATTTAATCGGGTAAAATGATCATTGTCATAAATCTGGCAGTATTTCAATATATGTTCTTTTTTAAAATGGATTATTATAAGACATATTTTCAATATAAAAAAAAATTTAAAAAAAAAACATATTGTATAAAGGAATTTTAAAGACAAATATTGAGATTACAAATTTTGACAAAGCAAATGACATAACTTTTTGCAGTTCAAGTTTATTTAGGAAAAATGGTGATAGCAAATCCAAAGCGATTGTATGGGAGGGAAAGGAAATTCTTTAGAGATGCATCACTTATCAAATAATGTAAAATAATTTACCGTCACACAATAACGCTGGGTGCATTCTGGATAATTTGATCACCTATATATTTCTAGGTAAGTAGCCTCCACCTTTCTTGCACTCAATGATTCTGGAATAACCCTTAACGTATGATTTCCTTAAAATATTTACCTGTAGATATAAATCAACATTTTAAAACAATATCATTTTCACCATAAACACCTTATATGGCACAGATTTTTGAACCAATTTAACTTGAGGGATATAGTCATCAAGATATTTCATTTTCTGCCGGTATTATGACTGGCTCGTCGTCGTCCTCGAAGCTATTGTCGGAGTAGAGGGGATATTTGTGGCAGCCCCTGAACCACGAGCATGTGTAGCGCTTTCTCATGTCCTTCACTTCTCTGATAAATAGTGGAAATATGCATACACCGGTCAGGAATGTCTGCAAAGAAAACGAATGATACGTTTAAAAGTAGAAAATACATATTAAAGTTTAAATGAGGTCCAGATGATTCAATTTTATTTGTTTTCTGATTCAAGTTTTTCACTTTCTTTCTTCCGTCAGTCCTGTAGATGCCCTTGTTTTTACTTAACATCTATCTCAGCTAAGGATGTCCTAGTTTTCGATTATCTATCACACTCCAAACTGGGAACACCATTGGATGAGGACAACACCAAGGTATTGGACAAAAGCATGAGATCCCGGAGAAAAGCCACCGACCTACGGCCAGTACCTGGCAACTGCCCCAAATAGTCCTCGAACCTGCGACCCAGTGGTGGAGGGCTAGTGGTAGCAGAATGGCAGACGCCTTAACCACTTGGCCACCGCAGTGGTGCATGGAACAACACCTGAACCTGTTTTATACCTGTGTGATTGTTGGTGACGGCTAGGTAAAGGTAGACTTACCATTATCATGAAGAAGACGAAAACTGGAACCCAGTTACCATTAGCTTCTTTTTGAATGGCTGGCACAAGAAGCTGTGAATGTAAATGAAATAACAAATGTGGATAACAGTTTACAAGCCAACAACCTGAAGCAACTCTCCACATGGCTGTTTAGGAAAAAAATAATCTCATACCATTATCCTTCATATATATAACTTTCTACAAACTCATTATAAAAATGTTTCAGTTTTTGAATCACAATTAACTATCATGTATGAATAATTGCATAAACATGTATTTACTTGAATTGTAGCTTTTTTTCAAGATTCAAAAATCATAAAAATGTATCTTTTTTATTCAAAATTGTTCACCTTCAGTATCGAGTACATTGCATGTTAAAGTTTTAAATATCTGAAATGTGTTTGTAGCTTCTTATTGATAACAAATATACAAAAACACAAACATTAACTTCTAAGTGAAAGACAGTATTATAAACTGACCTGGCCAATGGCTGCTCCCACACTGCCAGTACCGTCGATAATGCCGGTGACGGTTGCTAGGGCCTTCTGATTCCCAGCGACTGGGCCCTGTCGCCCTGGTAACATAAATATTAGATAATCTTTAATCAGATTATTTTTTTATTGACATTGAATGTTAACCTTCTGTATTGGAAACATGTAAATTTTGGTATATTTTGTTACTACATCTTTATTAATACATTTGCATAGTTTAATGAACCAACGAAAACCAATATTGACCATCACAAACATTCCATATGACATTTTTGATGGTATGTAGTACTGTAAAGTGAAAGCACTACTTTTTGTGGAGTTTTTTTAATTTCTTCAATTTCATGGGTAATCTTAATCCATGCATTCATAGATCCAAGAAGTACTTACAAGTTTGACATAAAGCAATTCTATGTTTTAGTGGGTAATCGTAATCCACAAATCCATGTACCCACGAAATGGCATTTTGTTGGAAAATGGGCCCATGAAAATATCTGCTTTCACAGTTTATATTGGGATGAGTTATTAGTTTATAAAATTGAACATATAAGATCGGTGGTGTTATGTGTACAACTTAACCGATATATTTCAGTGACTGTGAAATCATACCTTGTACATCAACAATTTAAATGTTTAAAGCGATGGCGAAAATTAACAATTCAATATGTTACAGTGACGAGTGAAATCTTACCTAAATCTGCCGCTATTGCTGCACTGATGAGGTTAGAGACGCCACCAACAAAGAACCCCACGACCGTCATCAGTACACCATTGATCACCAGACTGTTAGGAGATTCTGTAGAACAGATTTTAAACACATAAAGACACTTGTTTTTCTCCACCTTTGTGATAGCAAGACATTCTTTCTTTTCACATGTCTGAATTTTACATATTATTATATATATATCAACAATGTTTATCTGGGGTACATTCGCATATCCGGTTGGAACAGTTGAACCGGTTGAACCTGTAAAGAAAACGACAGGCACAGATCTGGACCGAGGCTGACCTCAGGAAAATTTGGTACGTGTAGATTGAGGGGTCCAGACGTACCTCGCCGAAACTAAAATGCTGACTATTGCCAGTTTGCGTGATTTCTTTCTAAAATAATGTCAAGCCACATGTAGTTTTTGAGATACGTTATGTAATTCAGTGGATGCGTGACAGAAGGGCATAATATTCTTGATACATTGTTTTTTATTATCCGAAACTGTGCATTTTTAGCTCTGCTTATAGAACGGTCCAAGTGAGTTCGTTTATCGTGGAATATTTCTACGCCACACATACCGTTTCAACAGGGATATGCGAATGTAGCCTAAGTCTTTTTTCTCATCTATAAAATATTTTTCTGCATTGTCAACATTATGTAATACAATGTATTGAAAAAACAGGACAGTAGATGCCGCACAAACTAATACTTTAGGTAAAGATTTTAAGACTCTTTCATGTCAAGTGGTGAAGGATAGCGAAATTCCATCCAAAGGGTTTTGGGCTAAAACCTGAAGCTTCCTGAGAGTTTTGTTCCAATTTCAAAAATCAAAGGACATGATTTCCCTATCCTACACCCCTGAGAACGAAAGTGTTTCTCTCTCATTCCAACAGCCAGAATTAGCTCAGAATCCATGTCAGAAAAGGCGCAACTTTTCCCCAGACCGTTTCGACAAAAACTAACCAGTCAGCAGGATGTAGCTAACCCATTTTTGTCAAACCTTATCTGTAAGAAAAATTAATCCCATCAATCTGACTATTTATTGTAAATATAATATCCGAATTTCTTTTTCATCTCAGCATCAGTTTCAACATCACAGCATCTGACTCTGACTTTTCTAAATCTCCTAACCTTACACCTGTTGTAATGTTAGTCACACATGTGAAAATAAATGGCCGTGAAAGATTGAAATTTCCAACAACCCTTTTTTTCCTGGAAATTTCTTCTGTAAACTAACAGGAATGAGAGAAAATTGTATTGCTATATATACTTGGATACTTTCGCCCTTTGCCATTGATATCCATATTAAACCTGCATTGATTTCGCCCGTCGTGTCTACATATGATAAAAAAAGACGAAAGTAAGCCCGCAGCGAAAGTTACAACATTACCCAATTTTCCGTGTATATATGTATATATTGATTTATCAAATACATACGACTGTATCCAAATAAAGACGGTATGGCCAGGACCAGCATCGGTATCACAATTAATGTCCTCTTCTCTAATCGGTCCTATTAAAAAATATATTAATTTGTTAACCGAGTGTATCATATCAAAAACTCAAACTTGTATATATAATCATTTCTAACACTGCAAGGCATTGGTTAACCCTTTCACCACTGTAAACCATAATTGACTCATCCAGCTGAATGTATGGCAGAGTCTACTAAAGTTACCTAGGGGTGAAGGGGTTAATGAATCTCTTCTGTACATGGGTTACCGATCATAAAAGCATTAAAAAACATTGCGTGATATTTTAATTTGTACATTTTGTTTTGTATTACTGTAATCTGAAAAAATCCGTATAAAAATTGGCACATATCTATTGATTTAAACACAACATTCCAGAATACCGGTAAATAAAGCATAATTTGAGGTATTTGACATATATCTAGTTACTGGAAAGTTAATGGTAGTACTTACTGATATAATACCAGCTATAGTTCCACCTGGAGAAGAGGGAGCAAAAGAAACCGTTAATTCATCAGACATATGAACATTACATTTTTCTTTTATGAAATGTATATATATATTTTGAGTCTGGTGTAGACTAAAGAGGATCACAACCAATCCTGTACTAGGAATCAACTTAACACTACATGTACAAAGAAAAGCAGTACATCAGTCTTAACTTCATATAGGAAACATTTCAATAGCAATGGCTCATTGTATCGGGATAAAATTATCCACAGATTTACCATCGGACTGAATTAATGCGAATGATTCCAATCCATGGCTTTAAATTAGTTTCTGTTGATATGCATCGTATAACTGTATAAGTATTAGGGCTGTCACAATATATCGGAAAACAGGTCATAGGTATATCGTATTGTACCACAATACCGAGATGAAATATTGCTGTAACGCAATATATTTTTAAAAACTTATTTTTATGTATCTCATTCAGCTTGGTGTTTTTACATTGCAAATTACTACAAATTCTAACAAATATGCCAATAAGCATAAAACAGGCTTCTAATAGTGGTGGAAATTACATGTGTAGTTCAAATTTTGTAATCAATGGTTGGTTTGACAAAAATCTTAAATCTATGTGATCCACACTATATATGATTACGTTTGATAACATTCTGACAACAACTTGATAGAAAATAGAACACATCCTTCCTATGACAATATATGGGGATACATATCGCAATTTATTCATTCTGTATTGCATGTGATACGCTCTTGGCATATCGTGACACCCCTAATACGTATAAACTATGGTGTGGTTTGTCATTTATTACTCTATATTTGTCATGCAGCACATAAATAATAACTTAAGCCTGTCCATGCATGCATGTAGCCAGTTTCTTTAACAAGTTCACCTAGCATAAAAATAATAATATTACCGGGTATTCTTAGTCTGGTAAATTCCAAAATCACATTAAAAATTCAGATATTTTTTGTTATTTTATTTATTTGATACACACATATATAAGAATACCACAGTAGGGACAGAACAGTATAATCTGTGTAATGCTAGGTAGCATCTATTAGAACTAACTGCATAATAATGCGACATATTTAGAATCCTTCTGATGCATTCTTGAAACAAAATATGTGAAAAACTGAAATATAACAAGACATAACAAAATTTTACTCATTAGAGACTAAAACTACAGAACTGTTTTTTTTTAAAAAGTATAAATGTTGACAAAGTTTCGTCGCAATTGAATAACATTTTACAAGTTATCTTGCAAAAAAACAACATGTGGATAGAAACAATCCAAAACCATAATACATGTATATAAATAATCTTTACCTATTATGCCACCAATGTCATACCATATTGACACTTTGTCGGCCGTAGACTCCTCCCATTTATATGAGTTGGAAAGGTAGAATGGAAGCCAGAAGAAAAACGAGTAGTTGACAAGCTTGAGACAGGCGTAGGCCAAGGAATACTGTAATGTGCAAGCAAAAAAAAATAAAAATTATGTACTTTGTACTGGATATCAAAAAATGTAGAGCAACATTTTACCTTGGTACATAACGGTTACCACATAGAGAAAACAAAGCTTTTATAACACTGTATCTCAATCACTAGGGAACAATTTTCCTTCATGAAAAATGGCACAATAAATCAAATATATTTGGTATGATTAATTAGAAAACTAGATCACTGACAGGTCAGGAATGACCATGAACTGTGCTTGGCCATATATAACCCCCATCTTGGCCAACCAGAAACCACAACAATCATTTTGGATTTCGTAATATTGGTTAAAACTCAAAAACCAGTAATTACCACCATGTATGAGCAAAAGTTAAAGTAATATATATGTTTCAGCTAACCAGAAGCAACAGACGGTGGCCATCTTGGTTTTGGGATCCAGGAAATATGGCAGCATTCTAATAGAATTAGGTATTATTAATAACAAAACAATGGCAAGTCTTAAAGGGTCATACCATGTAGTTTGGACATAACATCACCTCTCTTATATTTTGGAAAAAAATATTTTCTGTTAGAATTTTTCCAGGATCAGTTAACTTTCATCTTCTACTTTTGTCCTTCAAAAAAATGCATTGATCTTTGAGGTCAATATCTATTAAGATTATAAGAACACTGTAGAGAGTACATACCAGAGCCACTCCCGGGAGACACACTGCCTGTCGCATCGTCACAGCTTTGTCACGGTTCAGGGCAGCACCACTGACCTCGACATCAGAGCTCGATCCCAACAATGGTTCTGTGGATGAAAAAGTATTGTACAGTACAATTTTGTTTCGTTCACTTCACCCACTTAAAATCTTTGGTAAGTAATTCTGGTTTATTTCTGAATATGTCTTTGCTACAGTTGAATCCTAGGATTTTCATGGTGTATACCTGGACCCATACACTACAGTCTATAGGATGGGAATTTTCATTGGTACATAACTGTTCCATTGTTCTTATCTTGGAAATCTATCGTGTATCCACACAGTTGTGCTGGTCAAACAAAAGATATACTCCCTATTAACGTGTGCATGAAAAGAAAACCTATTCAATGTAAGTTCCCATCAGCTTTCAATCTTTGTGAGAAATTCAGAAGGGATAATTAATGCAGGAATAGACAGTTAGTACCCTTTTTTAAAATAGGAGTAAATATGCACTAGAGGTGTATGACCTGTCCAGTGAAGGCTGTTCATTATATAGACGCTTCAAATTGAAAATGAAAATAAAATAAATCACTCAGTTGTGGAACTGACGGAAGATATAAACATAATGGAATCAAAACAGATATTCATTTGGTAATATTTAGTTACAAGTGGGATTTCTTTTTTAACTGAAATAGGGGAAATTGACCCATACTAGGCCATAAAAAAAGCCTGCATATATCCATGTTCAGGTACAGGTAGAGGTACAAAGGTTCCTGCGAATTCCTCCAAAAATTGTATGGATTATTGTATGTGCTTATTGTATTAATTGTATATCTATGTAATGTAAAGTGCTTTAGAGGGGCTTATGTTAGCTAGATAGGGCACTATATCAAATGTTGTATATTATTAAAATATAATTGTGTTTACAAACTCACCATGCAGATTTGTTTTGTAAACTCTCTAAAATATATATGTCAATTCATATCTTAAGTAAAACACACTTCCAACATGTAATTTAGCATCATTCTTGTTGATTTGATATTGCTGTGGGAGTGGATCTTGTTGATTTGATATGGCTGAGGGAGTGGTTCTTGTTGATTTGATATGGCTGAGGGAGTGGTTCTTGTTGATTTGATATGGCTG